ACCACGTCCAGCTAAAACTGTTTTATGCGTATATGATTTTTGCCTCTGTACAGATATATGTGTATATCTGAAATTTAGTAGGACCTGGGAAGGGGCTCTGAGAATGAGTCAAGGAGACTTGGGCCCAGGGGTAAAGAGAGCGTATTAGTTACTTTCTTGTTGCTGTGATAAACCACCATGCCCGAGGCAACTTATAGAAGCAAGAGTTTACTTGGCTTGCGGTTCCAGAGGGGACAGTCCATCATGGCCAGGGAGGCCTGATGAGCAGAGGTGGCTAGAACAGAGCTGAGTGCTTGCGTCTTTAAGCAGACACACGCCCAGGTGGCCAAGTGTTCAAATACTTGAGCCTACGGGGGACACCTCTCATCAAACCACCACAGAGGGCTTGGAGCTTTTTCTTCGTGCTTTCTCCAGCTCACAGGTTTGAGGAGAATATAAATTTCCTTCCTTGGGAATTGCCTAGACAGAGCCAGAAACAGGACAGGAAGTAATGATCCTACCAAGCCTACACATCTCCCCCCACCCACCTGTTATTTTCCAAACTTATGCACCTTGCAACATGAAGACAGTGCTGTCCATGGAACGCACACAGGTGATGTCGGCAGCCAGGGGAGGGGTGGCTCCAGGGAGCCCAGTGTGAGGAGGCAGGTGGGATGCACAGGACTGCTCCTCACCCTTCTGGGAGCCAACAGGCTTTATCTGACTCATCCCCCAGCAGGTGGCCCATGGATGGCCCAGGTACAGCCCCTCAGGTCCGCTCTGCATGTGGTCCTCAGAGGGAGAAAAAGGCCTCGTGGTGCTAGGGCCCCATGGCCCTGGGCCTTCCTGGACCAGGCAGTGGGCTTCTCCCCCAGCTCTGCTGTCCCCAAGTCATACCTCAGAGCTCCCTGTAGCCGAATTCCACTATGGACCGAAGTCCTTAAAGGCTCTGCCTGAAGGCCCAGCATCATCACCCTGCCCTTATCAAGGCTTCTCCTGATCCCAGTGGTCCTTTGGGATCTGTTACCTGGGCCCAGGAGGTAGTGCTGACTGAACTGTCTGTACCTGCTACCCCTGATCCACCAGTCTCAGCCCCACGCTGCCCTGCCCCCCCCCACTCCACTGTCCCTGGAACCTTCTTTCCCCCACCTCCCCCTAGGCTAGCTCCCTGCTTCCTGCCCCCTGGGAGGGCAACTACAGATAGACTCCATCCCAGCTTTCTAACTTGGTTGGGGAGTGGCATGGGATGGACCCCCTTGAGTAGTGGTGGAGGGGCAGTGCAGGGACTCCTCCACCCCAAGACCTGGTGAGCTGGTGGCCTTGCATGCACACACTGCTCTCTGCCCAGGGGAGGCTGGCTGGTTCAGCAGGGTCCTCCGGGGACCTAAGATTGCTCTTGACCCTCTCTCCTTGCCTTTGTCCCAAGATTAATCCCCCCATCCCCACAGGGCTCATCCTCTTCTAGACCAGTTCCCTCCTCCACCACCTGCAGGCACAATTTATTTTTAGATATAAACCAAACCTCTGGCCAGGTTTGCACCGAGGACCCGAGAAGAGGTTTTATGAAGGGTTTTGTAAGCCTAGGGGACACGAGGAGGCGGCAGTTCCCCCATCTTCTCCACTTTAGAGAAATCTTCCTGGACAGAGTGGTTCTCGAGGGTCATTGCATTAGAGAGCGAAGAAAGAGCAAGAGAGAGAGACCCCACTGTTAACACCTCCCCCAGCCTGGCTAGACGTGCAAAGCCTCACCAGCAGCCCGCCCCACCCCCACGGCCCCCAGCCATGGGACCCCGGAGTAATCCAAAGAGAGGATAATTAATTCAAACAGACCCTCATCCATCCCAGGCTGGGCCCTTTGACAGGGGAGAGGCGGGAGGCGTGGGCAGAGAAGAGCACAGAAGTCTGGAGGGCTAATCCTGGGCTGGGGGTGAGCTTGTTCTGGCCCCAGCGAGACTCCCGGGCATCAGCCTGGCATGCTTTGTCACTGGCGGATGGGGAGACGGGCGAGACCAACTTTATTTCTGAATCTGGACTGACTTAAAGAAGTAACATCATATTTGAAGGGCGCCCAATCTATCTGTGGCCCTCGCTGCATGAAATTGTATTGGCTTGCCACTTCCTATATGGCTGGGCGCAGCTGGGCCGTAAGTCACTGGCGATAACGTTCTTTATTATGTTGCGGTGTTTATGAACTGTGCCTGCAACGAGATGATAGAAATATGCAGCCGTATGCAAAGGCAGACGGGAGGGGGGAGGGGAGAAAATGCTAGTTGCTAGGGCAACCATGGGGCTATTTTGGGCATCGGATTTTGTGTGTGTGATAAAAAACCATTTTCTTGGGCTGACTGGCCTGTCCCCTCCCCCTTCCTGAACTGAATGACTATTTAGGAAGGGGACTGCTTAATTTCTTAATTAAACATTATGCTATCTCCCACCCCCACCCCCTATTTGCCTCTTTTCAAAATGGATGGAAAAATGGAAGGGTGTTGATAAGTGTTCTTGAGTGGAAAGGGAGCCAGCGCTCTGATGGAGAGGTGTGAATAATTTACTAATCTTCGCTGATCCCCGCCACTTCCCCCACCATACAGCCCCCCCCCCCTTTTTTTACCTCCGCCGACTTAACTGTGATAAACACCCCCAGCTCTGGACCTCAGCGCAGTCTCAGAAGCTCCAGGTGTTTGTAAGCAAGGAGAATGCCAATGAGCTTTGGGGAGTTGGAAGGTGACTCCAACCCTGGGCACAGGCGTCCTGACAAACCAAAGCTAGGACTGTGCCCAGAACCCACACCCTGCTCCTTCCCCTCCATCCAAGACAGATGCACCTGGGGAGGACCAGAGCTGTTTACTGCAGCCTGGACAACTCCACGCCCAGCTCCAGGGTGGGGCCAGGCTGGCGGCCCTCTGGCTCTGTGCCCATGTCCTGCCCACAGCCTCGTATACATTTCCTGGGGCGGAGAGGCTGACAGATTTTTCAGTCTTGCTTTTTTTTACCCTGTCGTTCCTTCAGTGGTTTTCACAGTGGGGTCCCCAACTGGGTAACAACAACATGGCTCCCGACTTGCTGGAAATGCAAAATCAGGGGCCTGTTAGGCTTTGAGTCAGCAGCTGGGCTTGGCACTGTTTTAGTTCGTTACCTGAGAGATGCTGATGGGGCTACCTTACAGAAAGTCCCGAAGTACCTGGTCTTTCAGTATCATCCTGACCCTTGCTGTCATCCCCGTAGGAGCTCAGGAAGTTTTGTATGACCACCACCTGAGAAGCAACCTCCACATGCTCCTTGGCTGCCCTCTGTCCACCTGCCTGCCTCCAGCATGTTGTGGGGTGGGCACGGACGACACAACGGGGACCCAGCAGGTGGGCTGTCTTGCTCAATCTCAGGCCTGGGGTTGGAGAGCATGGGCCCCAACGGCCTCTTTTCCTTCCTGGCCAGACACTCCAACTTGGGTGGACAGGCAGTGCTGGGTGCTCCAAGGGCATGAACAACTAGACAAGTCCCTTTGCCCCAGTCTCAAACATGCTCCTAGATCTGGAAGCATCTTGCAGGGTAGTTGGGTTCTGGAAGAGTCCATAGGTGTTAAAGTGGGTGGAAAAGAACACATCTGGTTACAGGAGCCGTACTTGTTGCCATCAAGGGCTCCCCAGGTGAGCTGGGCGGATGAAGAAAGCTAGCTGGCCAGCAAGCAACGTCCGTCCACGGCCTCAAGCTCCTGCCTTGAGCTGCAGCCTGTGCTTCCCTTCACGATGGTGGACTCAAGCTTTCCTTTTCTCTGGTGCTACTGGGAACTTACACACTATGGTGGCACCTTGTTCCCTGAAGAAGAAAGCGTAGAATCAAAGGTTAAGTATGTGTTATGTGACAGCTGTGGTAGCTCATTTAATCACCGTGGGAGCCCAGTGAGGTGGAGTAAAGAAATGTCTGGCATAGAAAGGAAATCTGGGTGATCCGACTGTCCCCACCTTTTGTTTTGTTTAAAATCATTCTGGGGCTGGGGAGATGGCTCAGTGGGTAAAGGTGATTACGGCTAAGCCTGACAAACTTGAGTTCAATCCTTGGGACCCACATGGTAGAAGGAGAAAAAGACTTCTGCAAGTTGTTCTCTGACCCTCTGGCCTCTACATGCGTGCCATGGTATGTGTGCGGGCGCACATGCACCCCCCACCCCACGCACACAATGACTAAATAAATGAAATTATGGGGGCTGGAGAGAAGGCTCAGCGGTTAAAAGCACTGGCTGCTCTTGCAGAGGACCCAGGTCCGATTCCCAGCATCCACATGGCAGCTAACAACTGTCCGTAACTCCAGTTCCAAGGGATCCGACAGCCTCTTCTGACCTTCTCGGGCATTGCACGACATGGGTGCACTCACACACATGCAAGCAATACACTCACACATATAAAAAATAAAATTAAAAAAATTAAAAAATTTTTGGATTTATTTTTATTTTATGTGTATGAGTGTATTGCCTGCATGTAAGTGCGCTGGTGTCATGCAATGCCCGTGGAGGTCAGAAGAGGGTGTCAGATCCCCTGGAACTGGAGTTACGAACAGTTGTTAGCTGCCATGTGGGATCTGGGAATCAAACCTGGATCCTCTGCAAGAGCAGCCAATGCCTTTAACCGCTGAGCCATCTCTCCAGCCCCAATACTTTCTTTTTTCAAAAGAAACTTTTAATTGGATACTATCCAAGTGATATATGTTCTGGTAGGAAAAAAATATAAATGATAGAAAAGTACAGGGAAGTAAACAAATTAGTTTTTTTCCTGTCTGGAAATAAAAGATAATCTTTTCTGCTTTCTGTGTTCTCCCAGTTTATTGTTACAGATTCGAAATTGTATTGTGAGCGGATCTTTTCCAGCTCACAGTGAAATCCTTTTCCTTAAATAGCCCTCAACATATACTTTTTTTTTTTTTTTCAGTGGCTGCATACAATTTTACAATGTAAATTATCGCGGTGAAGCTTTTTGTTTGTGAATAAATTATTTTCCACATCTCTCTCAGGCTGTGCAAGTGGCAGCTTGTGATTTCAATACCAACGTGACCCTGAGCTCGGAGGCAGGCAGTGGTGAGCCCCTTTGTCTGTGGCATCCGGGCCGATGCTGAATGTGGAGAAGACAGTCAGTCAGTGGAAACTGGAGCCAGCTTCTGTGACGACGTTCAGGAGTGACAGACCCAGTCACCGCCTCCTGCCCCGGGGCAGGTGGCAGCGTTTGGCATCTTGGACGAGGGAGGAGGACTAAAACCAAGGCTTACACAAGGCTTCCTGGGACCGCACTAGGTTGGAGCTGGCAGAGGAAGGAGGCCAGGCTGTGCTGTGTACTGATTACCTAGCCAGCAGAGGGCGGCTCTGGGCGCCGTCTTCTGTTTTCTGGGTGGAGCGAGGAGCTGGGAGGGAGCGTCTCTGTTGCAATGGGGAGAAGCCGGGCCAGTCTGGAGTCTCAGGTAACAGTTTTGCTGTTTCTTTCCCACCATTTTGGGTTCACACACTTGTGCAAAGTAAACAGAATGGTGATGTCTCTCCCTGGTGCCAATGATGCCCCATCCTTCCATTTCCCTTTCCTGCTTGTCCTTTCTCCTCCTTTTATTGATTTTTTTGGAAATATTTATTTTTATGTTTTTATTGATGTGTGTGTGTGTGTGTGTGTGTGTGTGTGCGTGTGCGCACATGCATGCAGTGCCCACAGAGGCCACAAGAGGACATCAGATCCCCAGGAGCTAGAGTCACAGGTGGTTGTGAGCCACTCAGTGCACGTGCTGGGAACGGAACTCGGGTTCTCTGTAAAAGCAGGAAGAGCTCTAAACCTTTAAGTCATCTCTCTGTCTTCCTCCTCCTCCTCCATCATCATCATCGACATCATCTCTGTCTTCTTATTATTCCTCTGTGTGTGATAGTGTGTGTGTGTTCTTTGTGAGTGTGAACACGTGCATGCTGTAGCACATGTGGAGATCATAGAACACCTTTTGGATGTTTGTCCTTGACTTTCTACCTTGTTTGAGACAAGCTCTCTTTGCTGCTGTTTAAAACAAGCCAACTGGGCTGCGAGTATCCATGGATTCTCCTGCCTCAGCCTCACACGTCTCCCAGGAAGGGCATTGGGATTAGAAATGCTTGTGCTACTGTGTCTGGCTTTTACAGGGGTCTTGGGGATCCAAACTCCGGTCATCAGACATGCATGGCTAACGCTTTGCCACGGAGCCTTCTCCCCAGCCCCACGGCTCCTCTTTGTGAGTTTACGTTGTCTCAGGGTTCCGAAGCCACTCAAGCCATCTCCCTGTGTCCCTCACTGGCAATTCTCCTTATGACAGGCAGTCTGCAAAGGCTGTTGGTAGGTCTGTTTGCTTCCTGTTGTGATAAGCATCACGCCAGAAATAACTTAGGGAGGGAAAGGTTTGTTTGACACTTCCAGGTCACAGGCCACCACTGAGGGAAGTCAGGGCAGGAGCTGAAGCAGAGACCATGGAGGAGTGCAGCTTGCTGGCTTGCTTAGCTGGTTTGCTTACACAGCCCAGGCTCACCTGCCTGGGGATGGCATTGCCCCCAGTGGGCTGGGCCCTCCCACATCAATCATGAATCAAGACAATCGCTCACAGGCATGCTCAATCTGACCTGGGAAATTCCTCAGTTAAGATTATCTCTTTCCTAGGCTGTGTCATATTGACAATAAAAACTAACCAGCAGAGTGGGGGATAAACAACACTCAAATCAATGATTTCAGCAGAATTATGAAATCACTGCAGCGAAAATGCAAGTACCTCCCAAATCCTCTAATCAGAGGGTCTCAACTACAACACCATTGACATTTGGGACTGAACAATCTTGTGCTCTGGAGGAGTGACCCTATCATATTAGCAGCATCCCTAGGTCCTACCCACAGTGCCTGCTGCATCCTGTTAGTCTTAACAACCAACATCTTTAGATCGTATCTGTCATCCTTTGGGGGACACCAGAATCACCCATGGGTGATGCAGTGATCTAGGACAGTATCCTTCCTAATGTGTTCTGTGTAATCCACAGAAGTTGGTTGGGACGTTAATAAACATTTTATGAAGAACGGGACTCTGTGATCAGCTACATTGGAGAAATGGGCTGAACTAAGCCAAGAGGGAGAAGAGGAGCCTTCGGGCCACCTTCTTGTCTCTCCCTTCAGCATTACCTTTCTTCTTAGAACACCTTCAGTTCTCAGTGGCTTGGTTCTTGTTTTCCTGCCAGTTCTTCTCTGGAATATTCTAGACCACAAACCATCTCCTCTTAGCTCTCTGAGCTCTTGTATCTCTGATTTGTTCTTTTGTTTTATAGGGCTGTTTGTCTTTATTTTCCGTATTTGTTACTCTCCAGTTGCTGTGATAAAATACCATCACCAAAAGCAACTTAAGGAAGGAGTTTATTTTGGCTATGGTTCAGAGGGATCGAGTCCATCATGGCAGGATGGCCTGGCATGGTAACAGGAGCAGGAAGCTGGTTGATCACATTTCTGTCCACATCCAGGAAGCAGAGAGAGTGAACAGGAAGTGGGGCACAGCTATAAACCCTCAAAGTCCACCCCCAGTGACATACTTTCTCCCGCAAGGCTGCACCTCCTGAGGGTTCCAGAACCTCCCCAACCGGGACCAACTATTCAAACACATGAGCTTGCAGGGGATGTTTCTCATTCACCACAATTTGGATTAAAAGTCCAGCTGCACTTTTCATTGGCTACAATTTTAGTCGCTTAACTGGCCCTGTTGGGGGCCTGCTGTGTGGAACTGGGGTGGACCCAGCCTTGGTTTAGCTTGCTGCTTTCTGTTCTTTTCCATCTGCCTAACCCTGTGTCTAAACCCTCCCATAGCTCCCTACTGCCCTCAGGAGACAGCGATCTCCAGTGCTGAGATAGGGCCATTCTAAGGAGACGAAGTCCAGTAGACAGTCCTAGACAGTCCCAAATCACCAGAGAAGACACTAGAGATGGCCAGGGAACCCCTTTAGTTCGTGGGTCCCACTCCTGGGTCTCAGAGGCCATGTGGTCTTTTGTTGAGTGGCAGTGTGTAACAATGGATGCCTCCCCCAGAGGGGCTCAAACTGAGATGGGCAGAATCAGTGGCAGAAGTGGGCTGCTCTGTCTGTTGAACGCATCGTTAAGACTGCGTATTTGTCTGTGCTTATGAAGGGCTCTGTTGTAGGCAACTCATGTATAATTTTCTTTAGTTGTTACTACACATGATTGATGGGGGGGAGTAAACCGTCTTGTTTGCTAGACGGGGGACACTTGTTTACAAGGAAATCCATCATCTGGAACTCCTAAATTTGATTGCTTATCAGCAACGTGTGATGGTTAACATTGATTGTCGACAGAATAGAGAATTACTATGGAAACAAACGTCTGGGCATATCCCTGAGCAAGTTTCTAAATTGGGTTAATTGAGGTGGGAAGACCCACCCTGAATATGGTTGGCACCGGTCCATGGTCTGGAGCCCTGAACTGAATTGAAAGGAGGAAGCGAGCTGAGCACTGAATTCATCTCTCTCTGCTTCCTGTCCGCAGAAGCAATGTCACCAGCTGCCTCACACTCCTGCCACCAAACTTCCCTGTTTGGCAGATGTATCCCCTCAAACTATGTAATCTGAAACAAACCTTTCCTCTCTTTTTGCGAGGTATTTTCTCACAGTAAGGGGTAGAGTAACCAATACGCTGCCACAATGTTAAGTTTTGCTTTGAAGGGCCTGGTTGGCTTTAAGTCTCCTCCCTTGATGAACTGCTGTGGAGTCCCACAGGACTCACTCTTACCACCTCTGAACTTCTTGGTCTCCCCTGTTTCCTCTGCATAGTTCTTGTTGTCTAAGAGGAGAAGTTTAGCCCCAATTCGTCCATCCGACCGTTGGCGCTGTCCACCATCAGCCATTATCCTTGTTTCCCCTTTCAAAATGGCTCTTGGTATTAACCCCAGAGCTCTGCTCAGAAGAACGAGAGGACCCAGCAAGACAAGGGCAGGTATGTGGGGGAGTATGACAGGGTCACCTGACTCAGCCAGGATGTTTGGTGGGTGTCAGCATCCAGGAAGCTCCCCTCTAGGGGAAGATGCTGAGGGATGGCCAGATGCCCTCAGTGGGGTTTTCCTCACAAGGCCTTTGTGATCCCTTCCAGGGACAGTTTAAAATCACAGACATGTCTCTTTTCAAAATTCTAGACACCAGAAGCTGGTACACAAGGGGTCAGAGAGGTCATTCCCTCCAGAGGATTCCTGGGAGCACCTGCTCTAGGCTGCTCCCTTGACTGTCAGCCTTATCACCCCACACTCTGCCTACATGTCTCTCTTCATAGGGACCCCAGTCACGCTAGATTTAGGGCCACCATCCCCCCAAAAGACCTCAGCTTAACTAATGCTAATACCCCACTTCCAAAGCAGGCCACACCCACAGATTCTGAGTCTTGCATCATGAATATTGGGCGTGGGTATTCTATACCTGTTCAACCCAGAACAGCTTTGTCAAAGAACTCACCAGAAATACTTTAAGACCTTGCAATGGGTCCCTATTTGTCAAGCCCACGAGTCTCAGGCAGATTTTGTTCCCATCGGCCCATTCACCCCCATCCCTCACTCCCTTCTCTCCCCACCCCCCCTGCCTTCCCTGTCTTGACCTTGTCTAAGGCTCTACCCACACTGTTCTGGTCACTTCCAAGAGATTCTGCCTGGGCCTTTCCCATACCCCTTGGGTCCCAACCTCTTGGTCAGTCTTCTGGGTGCTGGACAGCATCTCTCTCTGCCCCAGACTCTTGAAGGCTCTCTGTCTCCCCTGAGCTTCCTCAGCCTGTGGCAGGAGAGATTCACCATCTTCACTGAGTAGCTAATGGGAGTTAGTGGACATTTGCCCTCCTCTCTCACCCTGCTGGGGTGTGCATTACGGACTGTGTTATCCGCAGTCTCCCAAGGGGTTAAGCTCTGCCCACTCATAAGTGTCTGACAGAGCACCTCTCTGGCCTCTTCCTCTACATGTCACAGTCCCCTCTGCCCTGCAGATACTTCCTACAGTCACCTTCACATCAGCTCCCATAATCCTTATGGCTGGGGGACCCCTGAGTCAGCCATTCACAAGCCCATACACCGCAGGATCCAATGTCCCCTGCAAGGCTGCCCTCATCTCCTGCTCCCAGCTGTTCATTGCCCTAGGAAGGATGGGAGCGATGGGGTTTCAGGGCATTCTAGGGACCAGCAGTCGCAGGGTCCTCTGGATGGGGTGTTTGTGCAGAGATCTCCTGCCAGCCAGGTGGAGTGTACACACAGGCCCCGGTGGCTAGAGCCCTGTCTGGGCCTGTGAAGGGTCTACCCTCCCTGGCTGCCTTCTCAGCCCTCTGGGTCTCATGCCTTGTTGGGTTCATATTTCTTCACAGTGTGGGGTGAACAACAGTCCGGTTTGCTCAGCTCTGAGGATTCTTCAGGATGCAGGGCTTTTGGGGCTAAGCTGGTCCCCAGGGCTAGCCTGGAACTTGATAGGTAGGCAAGGGCTGCACACTACTAAGCCCAGCTTTGTGTGATGTTGGGGATAGAGCAGGGGCATCATGTATGCTAAGCATGCACTCTAATAACAGCTTCATCCCCAGACAACACATAGATGTTTCTGGTTGGCACACTCAGCTCCCAAAGAAGGCCTAACATTTCAGGCTTTGGTCCTTCTTGGTGTTCCCTTAGTACATGCAGGGTTGGGTGGACATGTTACATATGATCTATCTCAGGTGGCCAGGGAAAGGGAGTTTCTGCTCTTTAAGTTCCACGTTCCACAGTGAGAGGCTTGCCATATCCCTCCTGACCTGGAGCGGGAGGTTACACAGGGGCGGGGGGTGGGGCAGTGGCTCCTGTGGGTGGGGGACATTGTCCCTCTCAAACAGACAGGTGTCACCTCTGCCCTGCTGGCCCCTAGGGGCCAGTGCTTTTGGGAATGGGAATCAGCGTGATGGCTGACGTCATCTAACCTGGAGGTCTCTACTGCTATCATCAGTGCTACAGCCATGTTTCCTGTTGCCTGTAGTGTGTGTTTTTACAAAATTGGATCTAATTTATAGACATTTTGCAACTGTGATCATTTCAGGACAACATCTGTGGAGCTCCTTTGCAGAGAGGCCAGATGTGCAGACAGTCACGCAGCGGTCATCCAGTGGGTGGGACCATCATCTTCAGTGTCCTTATTTATACAATTCATTTGAGGTTGGTTTTTCTTTTTAAAAAATTTTAATTTAAAAAATATGTGTGTGTGTGCCTGTGTGTGTGTGCGCCTGTGTGTATATGTGCCTGTGTGTGTGCCTGTGCATGTGTGCCTGTGTGTGTGTGGTGCCTGTGTGTGTGTGTGCGTGCCTGTGTGTGTGTGTACCTGTGTGTGCCTGTGTGTGTGTGCCTGTGTGTGGGTAGGTACATGTGAATTCAGATACTGGAGGTCAGAAGAGGGCATCAGATCCCCCAGAGCTGGAGTTACAGGCAGTTGAACTGTAACTTGGGTCCCCTGGAAGAGCAGCAAGTGCTCTTGACTGTTGAGCATCTCTCCAGCCCCAAATTTTCACGAACTGCATGATTCCCCATAGTTATTAATATTCTGAAAATCTCTAACTTTATTATGTAGCCCAGGCTGTTCAACAACTTGGAATCCTCCTGCCTCAGCCGCCTGTGTTGGGATTATAGACACGTGTAGTTATGCTCAGCCGGAATGTTTTTGCTTGGGAGTATGTTGAGATTTCTAGAACAATGCAAAGACAGTGCAGTGGGTCTCAATGGGGGCAATGTCACAACGGGGTGGTGAAGGCGCTGACTGGTATCAAGTGGGTCAAAGACAATGAGTCCAGAAAACACTGTATGACATTTCCCACAAATGACCGGTCCGGCACACCAGCAGAGTTAGGACAGAGAAGACCCACCCTTCACTCTGTGCCACCTCCTGTGGACAGCTTAAAGTAATACTTCTTTTTAAACTTTTTTGATTTATTTATTTTTATTTTATGTGTATGAGTGTATTGTCTGCACGTAAGTGCACCTGTATCGTGCAGTGCCCATGGAAGTAAGAAGAGAGCGTTGGATTCCCCTGGAACTGGAGTTACGGATGGTTGTTAGCTGCCATGTGGGTGCTGGGAATTGAACCTGGGTCCTATGCAAGAGCAGTCAGTGCTCTTAATCACTGAGCCATCTCTCCAGTGCCTTGACAACCACTTCTGTTAAAAAATATTTTATTTATTATTTTTATTTTATGTGTATGAATGTATTGCTTGCATGTATGTAAGTGCACCCGTGTTGTGCAATGCCTGTGGAGGTCAGAAGAGGGCATTGGATCCCCTGGAACTGGAGTTATGGATGGTTGTCAGCCACTATGTGGGTGCTGGGAATTGAACCCAGGTTCTCTGCAAGAGCAGTCAGTGCTCTTAACCACTGAGCCATCTCTCCCAGTAACCACTTCCTAAAACCAAAAAATAATATTGGTTCATTCTGGCTAGCTTAACAAATACCTTGGACAGAGTGATTTACAAACAACAGAAACGTATTGCTCACAGCTCCGGAAGCTAGGAAACTCAAAATCAAGGTCTCCTTCTGTAGACAGCACCTTCCCAGGCAGAAAAGTCCAGCAGACATCCTCAAGCACTTCACAGAGTGTCCCCTACACCCTGAGCTCTGAAGGGTCACAGAGAAAGCAGGTACATTCTAACTGTAACAGGTGCCTCCTGCCATAGATTCCCATCTGGCCAGATTGGGAGGAAGCTGGAGAGAAACCCTTCAGGGACCGCAGCTAGTTTCATTGACTTCTACAAGGGTCATGAGCCAACATGGATGTGAGAGAGGTAGAGTGCTGAGTGTGATCCCAGGGAGAAGGAAGGAGAGAGGAGAGAGAGGGGAGAGAGAGAGAGAGAGAGAGAGAGAGAGAG